CCGAGTGTTTGAACCCGTGACCTGCATTTCGTTAGTTGTTGTTTGTCTGTCGTAGGTCTGTGTAGTGGTATGGGCTCGATCTGTAGATCTGTCAAGTAGGAGTCCCAGCTCTGTAGAAGTCGTAGCTACAGGTATTCTGAAAGGTCAAGGTCGTAGCTGCTACAGTCCTGAAAGGTCAAGGTTGTAGCTGCTACAGTACCCGAAAGGCCAAGTCCACAGACTTCCGGAAGGTCCCGGAAGTGGCCTTTCGGAGTGAGCTCACGTTTAGACAGAGGCAAGTGGACCCAACCTCAGTACGTTGGCAGTACGACTGCAGTGAGTCTGCGGTGCAAACCCATGCAGTCAGCTGTACTGGTCCAGTCAGTCCCAGTCCAGTCCAGCAAGTACCATGAGGGACTGTGTGTACCACGTGCCGATGGAAAAGGGCAGACCAGTGAGTCACAGAAGTATAAACTAAGAGTCAGCGCACAGCCATTCATTCATTCCTGCGTAAGCCATGCGGAAGCGCTGCCAACAGCGGCTTGTCAAGGTGGTCTGCAGATGCGCCCGAAGTTGAAGTGGGCTGACGGAGAGTAGTGTAGCCATAGCGATAGAGTAGAAGCGGCCATAGCCGCCATAGCTGGTAGTGAAGTGCAGTGTGTGTGTGCGAGTGTACAGAGTGTGTGGTGTGTGGGGTATCCAGGGTGATCCTGTGNGTAGTGAAGTGCAGTGTGTGTGTGCGAGTGTACAGAGTGTGTGGTGTGTGGGGTATCCAGGGTGATCCTGTGTGCGAACAGCAGTGTCAAGTGAGTGAAGACAGACAGAGCGTGTGGAGTGAAGACAGACAGAGGGTGTGGTGTGTGGGGTATCCAGGGTGATCCTGTGTGCGAACCGCAGTGTCGAGTGAGTGACAACAGAGAGTTGTACGGGCCAGGTGCCGCCATAGCCAGTGGAAGTGAACTTGTATCTGGATTGAGTTCTTGGCACCATATCTCTGAGTTCTGAGTGGGCGCTTGACGCCAGTTTGCTGCGCAACCTGTTTGCATACATGTGAAGCGTGAATGAATGCGAGTCTGATTGCAGAAGATGTACGGGCACAAGCGCATACTGGACAGTTGCAAGGTAGCGTACGGGCATGTGGATTTTTTTCGCCTTGTACTCAACGGCAATCCGGTTGGAACCGGTACCAGTAGGCCCTGGGGCATTTTGAACAAATTTCAGGTCCAACCGACGCCGGATCATCGCAGAGGAGAACGAGAGGGTAAGTCGGCCGTCGGAGGGGCATGCAGGAAAAAAACGGATTTCAAAGGGGCATTTCGAAAATATATCGAAAACGAAAATGGAAAAAACAAAAAAACCTCTCACGTGCTCGTCGGTTTGAGGAGAAGTATGTTCCCTGCCGCGAAGGATTGGTTCCCTGCTTCCATCACAAAGGGCAGGTGCATGATCTGCAAGTGGATGGAAAAAGGGTACGACAGGATCTTCTCACGTGCTTGTCGCTTTGAGGAGAAGTATGAGGAGAAGT